AAGAGGCCAGAGAGACCATAGAGAGAGAGAGAGGCCAGAGAGAGTGAGAGAGGGACCAGAGAGAGAGACCAGAGAGAGAGAGAGAGAGAGAGAGAGAGAGAGAGAGAGACCAGAGAGAGACCAGAGAGAGTGAGAGAGACCAGAGAGAGTGAGAGACCAGAGAGACCAGAGAGAGACCAGAGAGAGTGAGAGAGAGAGAGAGAGAGAGAGAGAGACCAGAGAGACCAGAGAGAGAGCGAGAGGCCAGAGAGAAAGAGAGAGAGTGAAAAAGGCCACAGATAGAGATCAGAGAGAGAGAGAGAGACAGGAGACTAAATATCTTGTCCCATTGGAGAATTTAAGTCAGAATGTCTCTCTGGTCTCTCTCTAGTCTCTCTCTAATTTGCATCCGTTGTCCCACAGTCACAGTCACAAACACACACTCATTCATCCTGAGCTATTGCACATGTTTTTAGTGGTAGGGGAAACCGGAGTACCCGGAGGGAACCTACCCAGACACGGGGAGAACATGCTAACTCCACTCAGAAAAGCCCTGTTCCGGCCGGGATTAGAACCTTCTTGCTGAGAAGCGAGAGTGCTATACACTCAGCCAGAGAGAGAGAGACCAGAGAGAGACCAGAGAGAGACCAGAGAGAGACCAGAGAGAGACCAGAGAGAGACCAGAGAGAGACCAGAGAGAGACCAGAGAGAGACCAGAGAGAGACCAGAGAGACCAGAGGGAGACCAGAGACAGACCAGAGAGACCAGAGAGAGACCAGAGAGAGACCAGAGAGAGACCAGAGACAGACCAGAGACAGACCAGAGAGAGACCAGAGAGAGACCAGAGAGACCAGAGGGAGACCAGAGAGAGACCAGAGAGAGACCAGAGAGAGACCAGAGAGAGAGACCAGAGAGAGAGACCAGAGAGAGAGAGAGCAGAGGGACATTATAATTGTTAATGACTCTCCCACACTGAGTCTTTTTGCTGAAGTCTATAAAGTTAAAGAGACTAAACTCTGCGTCAGGACTTGGTTGAAGTTGATTAAACGCTTAAAGAGTCTGTGGATCTGGCAACCCTCCTCCTCCGCATTAACACCTCGACCCTCCATGGTGCCACGATGGTGTCACATTTACACTGCTCCACAAAACACCACTTAAAGTTACTGCTGCCTCATTGTAAAGAGGGGAGGGGCAGGGGCAGGGGGGGGGGGGGCAGACTCATTTGGGGCAATTTTACTGCTTTGGAAATACTAATCCTCTGAGGTGTTTAAAGTTTAAAGAAGATAAAACTCTGATCCGACTTCAGAGACAAAAACTGAGAACAGCACGTTACGACAACTTTGGAAAAACAGATACAAATGAAGAGAAACGGCCACGAAATAGGAGGTTATTACAGTAATTATAGACCAGAGAGAGACCAGAGAGAGACCAGAGAGAGACCAGAGAGAGACCAGAGAGAGACCAGAGAGAGACTAGAGAGAGACCAGAGAGAGACCAGAGAGAGACCAGAGAGAGACCAGAGAGAGACCAGAGAGAGACTAGAGAGAGACCAGAGAGAGACCAGAGAGAGACCAGAGAGAGACCAGAGACAGACCAGAGACAGACCAGAGACAGACCAGAGAGAGACCAGAGAGAGACCAGAGAGAGACCAGAGAGAGACCAGAGAGAGACCAGAGAGGGACCAGAGAGACCAGAGAGAGACCAGAGAGAAACCAGAGAGAGACCAGAGAGAGACCAGAGAGAGAGAGACCAGAGAGAAACCAGAGAGAGACCAGAGAGAGACCAGAGAGAAACCAGAGAGAGACCAGCGAGAGACCAGCGAGAGACCAGAGAGAGACCAGAGAGAGACCAGAGGGAGAGAGACCAGAGAGAGACCAGAGAGAGACCAGAGAGAGACCAGGGAGAGACCAGAGAGAGACCAGAGAGAGACCAGAGAGAGACCAGAGAGAGACCAGAGAGAGACCAGAGAGAGACCAGAGAGAGACCAGAGAGAGACCAGAGAGAGACCAGAGAGAGAGACCAGCGAGACCAGAAAGACCAGAGAGAGAGCAGAGAGAGAGCAGAGAGAGACCAGAGAGAGACCAGAGAGAGACCAGAGAGAGACCAGAGAGAGACCAGAGAGAGGACCAGAGAGACCAAAGAGAGACCAGAGAGAGACCAGAGAGAGACCAGAGAGAGAGAGACCAGAGAGAAACCAGAGAGAGACCAGAGAGAGACCAGAGAGAGACCAGAGAGAGAGAGACCAGAGAGAGACCAGAGAGAGAGAGACCAGAGAGAAACCAGAGAGAGACCAGAGAGAGACCAGAGAGAGACCAGAGAGAGACCAGAGAGAGAGACCAGCGAGAGTGGAAACACCGGTGAAGCACTGACTTCAGTCCTAATCAGATGAACATATACATCATATAAATCAAGTGGACAATTTGTTTGGCTACAGCAAAATATGTGTTATGCCCGCATTGTTTGTTCATACAAAACGCAAAACTATGAGTTATGGGTCTTACCTTATAGCTATACCTTATAAATGACCTGCACAGGCCACTTCGGTTCAGACCAGTTCCTTGTTTAAATCCAGTTAATGGTTTGAGCGTAGATATGTAATCCTCCATTTGGAAATGAGTCCAATGAGTTTTAAAAAGTAAAACAAAACGCGTGTGTCCTCCATAAACTCCTGTGTTTTGCTGCAGCCGGCTGCATCCGATTTCTAAAATCAACCGTCTTACACTTCACCTCTCTTTCTTATCATTCCTGAAAGAATTACCCTATGTGCATTTTAGATTATGTAAAAATGTGTTATATGTATGTTAGCCAAACTTGTTGCAGCCCTTAGCAGATAAACCAGGAGGAGCAAGGAGCTTATCGATGGAATTGTATGCAGCCGACTTCTGCGCTCACATGAGCTCCTCTGTGGCTGACCTCACGGTGATACAAGCCGTGGTTGAGCGCGATTAAGACCCATATTTGTTTCAAAAACACAATTTATGAGCCATCCTCTCAACTGTAGACATGTGGACTGTAAAGGAAATATGATTTACATCAGCCAATAATTGCTGAGAGGTTTTCTCATCCTCCCTTCTCTCATGACAACACGTTCATTGTGTGTCTTGAGTAACGCGCAGTAACGGGATGTCGGAAATGATAACGGCGTTATAGTTACTGACAAAGTAATTAGTTAGATTACTCGTTACTGAAAAAAGTAACGGCGTTAGTAACGCCGTCACTAGTAACGCCGTTATTCCCATCACTGATCATGAAGCATTCTCCAGAAACGTACGCATCTGACGTTCCATGGAAAAGGATGAAGGTCTGGGTTTTGTCTGAAGTGAGTTTATGGTGATAGCGGCTCAGGGGTCTCTGCTGTGGGACTCTCTGGTCTTTCTCTGGTCTCTCTCTAGTCTCTCTCTGGTCTCTCTCGAGTCTTTCTCTGGTCTCTCTCTCTGGTCTCTCTCTGGTCTCTCTCTAGTCTCTCTCTGGTCTCTCTCTGGTCTCTCTCTGGTCTTTCTCTCTGCCCTCTTTCTGGTCTCTCTCTGGTCTCCTTTTGCTCTCTCTCTGGTCTCTCTCTGGTCTCTCTCTGGTCTCTCTCTGGTCTCTCTGGTCTCTCTCTGGTCTCTCTCTGGTCTCTCTGGTCTCTCTCAGTCTCTCTCTGGTCTCTCTCTGGTCTCTCTGGTCTCTCTCTGGTCTCTCTGGTCTCTCTCAGTCTCTCTCTGGTCTCTCTCTGGTCTCTCTGGTCTCTCTCTGGTCTCTCTGGTCTCTCTCTGGTCTCTCTGGTCTCTCTGGTCTCTCTCTGGTCTCTCTGGTCTCTCTCTGGTCTCTCTGGTCTCTCTCAGTCTCTCTCTGGTCTCTCTCTGGTCTCTCTCTGGTCTCTCTGGTCTCTCTCAGTCTCTCTCGGTCTCTCTCATGGACTCTCCTCTTGAGCAGTGACCGTAGTGTTTCCAGAATGATGCAGATGAAGGTTTTCCACTTTGATCCCCCGCAGTCCTTCTCCTCAGGACTCAGGGTTTTATGAATCACTCTGAGCTCTCAGTTTGTTAGATTCATTTCAAACCTGCAGAACAGATGTTTTTCTTTTACACTTATACAGTATTTGTTCCACTCTCTCCATCAACAAACTGTCTTACCCAGGTCCTCACACTCTCTCTCTCTGTGTCTGTCTCTCTCTCTCTCTCTCTGTGTCTGTCTCTCTCTCTCTCTCTCTGTGTCTGTCTCTGTCTCTCTCTCTCTCTCTCTGTGTCTGTCTCTCTCTCTCTCTCTCTGTCTCTGTCTCTGTCTCTCTCCTCAAAGACATTATTAGGCTTCAGTTCCCATTGTTGTAATCGATGTTGCACTTTTTATTTTGATCGAGTGACGTGACCTCTGGGACCTCCTCTGACAGACAGAGGAGTGACCTCTGGGACCTCCTCTCACAGACAGAGGAGTGACCTCTGGGACCTCCTCTCACAGACAGAGGAGTGACCTCTGGGACCTCCTCACACAGACAGAGGAGTGACCTCTGGGACCTCCTCTCACAGACAGAGGAGTGACCTCTGGGACCTCCTCACACAGACAGAGGAGTGACCTCTGGGACCTCCTCTCACAGACAGAGGAGTGACCTCTGGGACCTCCTCTCACAGACAGAGGAGTGACCTCTGGGACCTCCTCTCACAGACAGAGGAGTGACCTCTGGGACCTCCTCTCACAGACAGAGGAGTGACCTCTGGGACCTCCTCTCACAGACAGAGGAGTGACCTCTGGGACCTCCTCTCACAGACAGAGGAGTGACCTCTGGGACCTCCTCTCACAGACAGAGGAGTGACCTCTGGGACCTCCTCTCACAGACAGAGGAGCAGAGCTGCTTTTCCGTGACTTTTGGTTCAAGGCATTTTCTGCATAAACATGATTTTCTTGGTAGTTTGAGGGTTGAGTCCCTCTGGGTCTGGAGTCCGTCTGGTTTGTGTGAGCACAGACTCAGGACCAGGTGAAGTCCTACTCGACACTAATGGAGGTTCCTCCCTGGTTTTCCTGCAAAGAGGAAGTGAGAGCAGAAGATGGAGGACGATGTCAGGGCCGTGGGAGGAGGCTCTGCTCTGTCTCTGCATCAGGAGCTGAGGCTGAGGAGGTCTGGACAGGGTCTGGAGAAGGTCTGAAGAAGGTCTGGACAAGGTCTGGACAAGGTCTGGAGATGGTCTGGGTTCCACTCACATGAGCATCTGTGTAATCGTCTGAAATCATGTCAGAATGTGCAATACAGAACCACACGTGTCCCAGAGCTTCATGCTGCTAACATGCTAACATGCTAATATGCTAATATCTATCTATATCTGCACTAGATATACAGGATTTATACTGCTTCTTTATTATGCTAAAGTTAGAGAGTCCCAGCAGGAGGCCAGTCCCTGTGCTCCTCAGAGTCCTAGCAGGAGGCCAGTCCCTGTGCTCCTCAGAGTCCCAGCAGGAGGCCAGTCCCTGTGCTCCTCAGAGTCCCAGCAGGAGGCCAGTCCCTGTGCTCCTCAGAGTCCCAGCAGGAGGCCAGTCCCTGTGCTCCTCAGAGTCCTAGCAGGAGGCCAGTCCCTGTGCTCCTCAGAGTCCCAGCAGGAGGCCAGTCCCTGTGCTCCTCAGAGTCCCAGCAGGAGGCCAGTCCCTGTGCTCCTCAGAGTCCCAGCAGGAGGCCAGTCCCTGTGCTCCTCAGAGTTGGTTCATATGACACTAACATGTCACAGATGTACTTTGGTACGAGACCATGGAAAGACTTGTAACAAACAGAGACCTGAGACCCGGACTAAATGTGATGGTACTTCCTGGTTCTAGTCTGGACTCGAGCTGCAGAACTCGTGGTACAGTCTGACAGTGAAGACAGAAGCAGGAGAAGAGTCTAACTTTGTTTTAGATGTTCCACTGTTTGATCTGAAAAAATACTGTACATTCAATTGTTTTTTCCTCTGGTCTCCCTCTGGTCTCCCTCTGGTCTCCCTCTGGTCTCTCTCTTCATGGTGCTCCCTGTTGCATTCCTGAAGCAGAGGTGAGATTTATGAGCTCAGTTTAAGAGACAATGGGCAGTGCATTCCAGACGCAGAGCCCTGACCAGCGCTGGAGCGGACCATGGGTGCAGGTGTGGGTCCCAGCTGGTCCACAGTGCACCAGGAGGCCAGGCTACCCCCGACCCAGACCCAGACCTGTGCCCTTTAACTCTGTTTGGACAAATACCAGGACGCCAAAATGAGTGAAATTTAGACGAAGGAAGTTGAAAAGCATCGCATTCGCCTGAGGTTGGAAATATGAGTGACAGCTGCGACTCTATTATCTCTCTCTGGTCTCTCTCTGGTCTCTCTCTGGTCTCTCTCTGGTCTCTCTCTAGTCTCTCTCTGGTCTCTCTCTGGTCTCTCTCTGGTCTCTCTCTGGTCTCTCTCTGGTCTCTCTCTGGTCTCTCTCTAGTCTCTCTCTGGTCTCTCTCTGGTCTCTCTCTCTGGTCTCTCTCTGGTCTCTCTCTGGTCTCTCTCTGGTCTCTCTCTGGTCTCTCTGGTCTCTCTCTGGTCTCTCTCTGGTCTCTCTCTGGTCTCTCTCTGGTCTCTCTCTGGTCTCTCTGGTCTCTCTCTGGTCTCTCTCTGGTCTCTCTCTGGTCTCTCTCTGGTCTCTCTGGTCTCTCTCTGGTCTCTCTCTGGTCTCTCTCTCTCTAGTCTCTCTTTCTGGTCTCTATATCTATATCTATCTATAAAACACTTAGAGTCGGCTGATATATACAGTAGAATGGTAATTCATATTAAAATCCAGGGCTGAGGCTGTAGACCCAGGACTGAGGCTGTAGACCCAGGACTGAGGCTGTAGACCCAGGACTGAGGCTGTAGACCCAGGACTGAGGCTGTAGACCCAGGACTGAGGCTGTAGACCCAGGACTGAGGCTGTAGACCCAGGACTGAGGCTGTAGACCCAGAACTGAGGCTGTAGACCCAGGACTGAGGCTGTAGACCCTGGACTGAAGCTAGACCCAGGACTGAGGCTCTAGACCCAGGACTGAAGAGGGGGAGGGGGGTGAGGGCGGTGCTGTTGCATAGAGATTCTGAAAGTAAAACCCCCTTCTGGTCTAAAGTCTAATTGTGGTGGAAGCGATGATCCGATGAGATGAAGAGTGACGTGTCTCCCTTCAGGCGGTGATGGGGAGGAGGCGGGTTGCTGCATGAGCTGACAGAGAATGTGAGGCCCTGTCTATACGGACGAACCAGAAAATAGATTCTAATTTGGTCTGGTAACAAGACAAAGATAAAATTCAGACACTGATCCTAAACCTCTGGGCCAATGAGACGTTACTGACGACAGAATGCAGACGCTGAGAGTTTGATGCCAGGTAAATTAGCACATGTTTATTTATATAGCACATTTACAGACCAAGGTACAGACCCAAAGTGCTTTAGAATTACTCAGAGATGTCATAAAGAGAATCTACTCATCTGAAAGACTCTCTGGTCTCTGGTCTTTCTCTGGTCTCTCTCAGTTCTCTCTCTGGTCTCTCTGGTCTCTCTCTCTGCTCTCTCTCTACTCTCCCTGGGCTCTCTCTCAGTTCTCTCTCTGGTCTCTCTCTGGTCTCTCTCTGGTCTCTCTCTGGTCTCTCTCTGGTCTCTCTCTGGTCTCTCTCTGGTCTCTCTGGTCTCTCTCTGGTCTCTCTCTGGTCTCTCTGGTCTCCCTCTGCTCTCCCTCTGCTCCCCCTGGGCTCTCTCTCTGGTCTCTCTCTTTGCTTGTTTTTATACCTGCATGTTTTTGTGTCTGGGATTGTCGTTGTGAGACACCAGGCTGATGGTGTGTGTCTTAAACTTTGTGGATGGAGAGTTGTCATCGTTCCTGCTTCTTTACATCGCCTCCTGGAAACGTCTCCTTTAAACGTCTCCTTTAAACGGCTTTTTAACATCACGGCCAGGAGACCACAGATGAAAAATATCTCCTTGTCTAATTCTATCTACTCATCTGAAAGACATTTTGGAAACCTCTTTTCTCCCAGGGCAGGGGCAGGGGCAGGCTGTAGGTCCCTCCAGCTTTGCCTTTTTTCCCCTCCCTCAATCTGCCCCCCCCCCCCTCTCTCTCGCACACACAGCAGCAGACTGGAACTAGATCCACAGTGCATCCCGGAGAGTGGAGTTTGGGTCCCGTGTGGAGAGAGAGAGAGAGAGCAGGCGGCTGAGAGGTGAGAGGTGCGATTCCCTTCACGTCTGTGTATCTATGCGGCTCGAGTAAACACCGCTGAATCAGGCCTTTGAGCAAGTGGCTGCAAGTCTGGTCTGCAGCACCTGAAAGCGGCTATTCATGCCCTGAGCGTGGATGGCACTGGAGAAGGAGGCTGCAGTTGGAATTACGTTCATACACGGCTGTCTTGAATCCTGCATGACTGATGTTCTCTCTGGGATTGTCGGTGTCTAGTTTTTGCCATTTTCTTCTTAAAGAGGCTTCATGTAACTTTGTGGATGGAGAGTTGTCTTCTTTACTTTGAGCTGTTGAAACTTCTAGACCATAAATTGTCTTGATGGAGTTTTAGCTGCGTCTTTGACAAAGATCCAGTTGAAATTTCCAAACCAGATTTGACACTAAAACAGATTTCTTGTCCATATTTTCTTGGTTTTAAACCTGCATGACCGTTTTTCTGTCTGGGGTTGTCGTTGTGAGACACCAAAGTTCTGGGTTTTGTCTGCTCTCTCTCTGGTCTCTCTCTCTAGTCTCCCTCGGCTCTCCCTCGGCTCTCTCTGGTCTCTCTCTGGTCTCTCTCTAGTCTCTCTCAGTTCTCTCTCTGGTCTCTCTCTGGTCTCTCTCTGGTCTCTCTCTGGTCTCTCTCTGGTCTCTCTCTTGTCTCTCTCTTGTCTCTCTCAGTTCTCTCTCTGGTCTCTCTCTGGTTTCTCTCTGGTCTCTCTCTAGTCTCTCTCTGGTCTCTCTCTGGTCTCTCTCTGGTTTCTCTCTGGTCTCTCTCTTGTCTCTCTCAGTTCTCTCTCTGGTCTCTCTCTGGTCTCTCTCTGGTCTCTCTCTGGTCTCTCTCAGTTCTCTCTCTGGTCTCTCTCTGGTCTCTCTCTGGTCTCTCTCTGGTCTTTCTCTGGTCTCTCTCTAGTCTCTCTCTGGTCTCTCTCTAGTCTCCCTCTGGTCTCTCTCTGGTCTCTCTCTGGTCTCTCTGGTCTCTCTCTGGTCTCTCTCTGGTCTCTCTCTAGTCTCTCTCTAGAGTCTAGTCTCTCTCTGGTCTCTCTCAGTTCTCTCTCTGGTCTCTCTGGTCTCTCTCTGGTCTCTCTCTGGTCTTTCTCTGGTCTCTCTCTAGTCTCTCTCTGGTCTCTCTCTAGTCTCCCTCTGGTCTCTCTCTGGTCTCTCTCTGGTCTCTCTGGTCTCTCTCTGGTCTCTCTCTGGTCTCTCTCTAGTCTCTCTCTAGAGTCTAGTCTCTCTCTGGTCTCTCTCAGTTCTCTCTCTGGTCTCTCTGGTCTCTCTCTGGTCTCTCTCTGGTCTCTCTCTAGTCTCTCTCTAGAGTCTAGTCTCTCTCTGGTCTCTCTCAGTTCTCTCTCTGGTCTCTCTGGTCTCTCTCTGGTCTCTCTCTAGTCTCTCTCTAGAGTCTAGTCTCTCTCTGGTCTCTCTTTTCTTGTTTTTATACCTGCATGACACCAGGCTGATGGTGTGTGTCTTAAACTTTGTGGATGGAGAGTTGTCATCGTTCCTGCTTCTTTACATCCTGGAAACGTCTTCTTTTTAACGGCTTTTTAACATCACGGCCAGGAGACCACAGATGAAAAATATCTCCTTGTCTAATTCTGGCTTATTTTTACTCATGTGTTTTATGAAATTGCTGTGTCCTCTTTGAAATAAACTAAACTGAAACTGAAACGGAGTAAAAACAAGCATTACCAAAACGTTGTCGCTGCTTCTTGGACACCGACAATAATTAATTTCACAGATAAAGTTGAAAAACCAAAGCAGATTTGACCATTTGAACATATTTCCTTCTCATCTTTGCTTGTTTTTATGCCTTTTCTGTCTGGGGTTGTCGTTGTGAGACATCAGGCATATGGTGTGTGTCTAGTTTTGCCGTTTCCTCTCCTTGTGGACGGAGAGTTGGTCATTTGCTGTTGAAACTTCCAGACAAACCAGGCCTGACCGAAGCCTTGCTCTTGATGTGGTTTTAGTGCTTCTTGGACACGCACCATAAGTCATTTCACAGACTCAGTTGAAAACACTTCAACATATTTGTTGTCCATCTTTGATTGTTTTTCTGTCTGGGCTTAAGACTCCAGGCTCATGGTGTGTGTAGATTTGACCATTTCCTTTTAAAGATGCTTCATGTAACTTTGAAAATGGAGAGTTGTCGTCTGCTTTTTTCTATTGAGCCAAAAAGTGTGTCTTGATGTAGTGTTAGCTGCTTCTTGGACTCACACAACAGTTGGTTTCATAGATCCAGCTGAAAAACCAACGACTGTGTTTATGTTTGGGATTGCAATTGTGAGACACCAGGATGTGTCTGTGAGGCCCTGGAACTCACTACCTCTGTCTGTGAGGCCCTGGAACTCACTACCTCTGTCTGTGAGGCCCTGGAACTCACTACCTCTGTCTGTGAGGCCCTGGAACTCTCTACCTCTGTCTGTGAGGGCCTGGAACTCACTACCTCTGTCTGTGAGGCCCTGGAACTCTCTACCTCTGTCTGTGAGGGTCTGGAACTCACTACCTCTGTCTGTGAGGCCCTGGAACTCTCTACCTCTGTCTGTGAGGGCCTGGAACTCACTACCTCTGTCTGTGAGGCCCTGGAACTCTCTACCTCTGTCTGTGAGGCCCTGGAACTCACTACCTCTGTCTGTGAGGCCCTGGAACTCTCTACCTCTGTCTGTGAGGGTCTGGAACTCACTACCTCTGTCTGTGAGGCCCTGGAACTCTCTACCTCTGTCTGTGAGGCCCTGGAACTCTCTACCTCTGTCTGTGAGGGCCTGGAACTCACTACCTCTGTCTGTGAGGGTCTGGAACTCTCTACCTCTGTCTGTGAGGCCCTGGAACTCTCTACCTCTGTCTGTGAGGGCCTGGAACTCACTACCTCTGTCTGTGAGGGTCTCTACCTCTGTCTGTGAGGGTCTGGAACCCTCTACCTCTGTCTGTGAGGGCCTGGAACTCTCTACCTCTGTCTGTGAGGGCCTGGAACTCTCTACCTCTGTCTGTGAGGCCCTGGAACTCTCTACCTCTGTCTGTGAGGGCCTGGAACTCACTACCTCTGTCTGTGCGGGTCTGGAACTCACTACCTCTGTCTGTGAGGGTCTGGAACTCACTACCTCTGTCTGTGAGGGTCTGGAACTCACTACCTCTGTCTGTGAGGCCCTGGAACTCTCTACCTCTGTCTGTGAGGCCCTGGAACTCACTACCTCTGTCTGTGCGGGCCTGGAACTCACTACCTCTGTCTGTGAGGGCCTGGAACTCACTACCTCTGTCTGTGAGGGCCTGGAACTCACTACCTCTGTCTGTGAGGCCCTGGAACTCACTACCTCTGTCTGTGCGGGCCTGGAACTCACTACCTCTGTCTGTGAGGGTCTGGAACTCACTACCTCTGTCTGTGAGGGCCTGGAACTCACTACCTCTGTCTGTGAGGGTCTGGAACTCACTACCTCTGTCTGTGAGGCCCTGGAACTCTCTACCTCTGTCTGTGAGGCCCTGGAACTCACTACCTCTGTCTGTGAGGGCCTGGAACTCACTACCTCTGTCTGTGAGGCCCTGGAACTCTCTACCTCTGTCTGTGAGGGTCTGGAACTCACTACCTCTGTCTGTGAGGGCCTGGAACTCACTACCTCTGTCTGTGAGGCCCTGGAACTCTCTACCTCTGTCTGTGAGGGCCTGGAACTCACTACCTCTGTCTGTGAGGCCCTGGAACTCTCTACCTCTGTCTGTGCGGGTCTGGAACTCTCTACCTCTGTCTGTGAGGGCCTGGAACTCACTACCTCTGTCTGTGAGGGCCTGGAACTCTCTACCTCTGTCTGTGAGGGTCTGGAACTCACTACCTCTGTCTGTGAGGGCCTGGAACTCACTACCTCTGTCTGTGAGGCCCTGGAACTCTCTACCTCTGTCTGTGAGGGCCTGGAACTCACTACCTCTGTCTGTGAGGGCCTGGAACTCTCTACCTCTGTCTGTGAGGGCCTGGAACTCACTACCTCTGTCTGTGAGGCCCTGGAACTCTCTACCTCTGTCTGTGAGGGCCTGGAACTCACTACCTCTGTCTGTGAGGGTCTGGAACTCTCTACCTCTGTCTGTGAGGGTCTGGAACTCACTACCTCTGTCTGTGAGGGTCTGGAACTCACTACCTCTGTCTGTGAGGGCCTGGAACTCACTACCTCTGTCTGTGAGGCCCTGGAACTCACTACCTCTGTCTGTGAGGGCCTGGAACTCTCTACCTCTGTCTGTGAGGCCCTGGAACTCTCTACCTCTGTCTGTGAGGCCCTGGAACTCTCTACCTCTGTCTGTGAGGCCCTGGAACTCTCTACCTCTGTCTGTGAGGGCCTGGAACTCTCTACCTCTGTCTGTGAGGCCCTGGAACTCACTACCTCTGTCTGTGAGGGTCTGGAACTCTCTACCTCTGTCTGTGAGGGCCTGGAACTCACTACCTCTGTCTGTGAGGCCCTGGAACTCTCTACCTCTGTCTGTGAGGGCCTGGAACTCACTACCTCTGTCTGTGAGGCCCTGGAACTCTCTACCTCTGTCTGTGAGGCCCTGGAACTCTCTACCTCTGTCTGTGAGGCCCTGGAACTCTCTACCTCTGTCTGTGAGGCCCTGGAACTCACTACCTCTGTCTGTGAGGGTCTGGAACTCACTACCTCTGTCTGTGAGGGTCTGGAACTCACTACCTCTGTCTGTGAGGGCCTGGAACTCACTACCTCTGTCTGTGAGGGCCTGGAACTCACTACCTCTTGTGTCTTACTTGTATTTTGCTAATTTGGCCGTTCTTTCTATTTATAAATTCTTTGCACACTGTAAACCTGCTGTATAGCGCAATGTCCGATAAACAAATAAACAAACAAATAAGTTCCTGCCCAGATCCGACTCAAACACATTTATTGTCCATCGTTGTTTGTTGAAGTCAGTGTGGGCGGGTCCTGAATCAAAAAAAGTTCAAAATGACGTGCTCTGACATGCTGCAGTACCACCCCGGGCCTGTGGGGGTGTACCCGGAAGAAGAATTAGCCAATGCTAATGTGTAGCAGCTTCTTATCTCTCAAAAAAGTGCAAAAGTGGCTCTTGGTCCAAAAGTGGTTCTTGGTCCTAAAGTGGCTCTTGGTCATCTTGGTCCCAGATGCTGTCTGAGGGGAGTGTATATTTTTGGACCAGTCTAGTTTAGTCGCTGTGGACTTCAGAATGCACTCGCAGAGGCTCTGGTGAAACAGATTCAAAAACTCATCTGGACTCAACATGTTCTGTCTGCTCTGGTTCATCCACGTCGGAAAAACTGTGATTCTCTCTGAGCTCAGTCCCAGACACACACACACACACACACACATACTACACACACACACAGATATACTACACACACACACACACAGATATACTACACACACACACACACACACAGATATACTACACACACACACACACACGCACACACAGATATACTACACACACACACACACACAGATATACTACACACACACACACACACACAGATATACTACACACACACAGATGTACTAACTACACATTCTACACACACACACCATTCTCTCACACACACACATACTACACACACACACACCTCTCTCTCTCACACACACACGCATACCACACACACACACACCTCTCTCTCTCTCTCACACACACACACACACACCTCTCTCTCTCTCACACACACACACACACATACTACACACACACACACAATGGTTTTTACTCCGTGTTTACATCAGATGTTGTCTCAGGATTTATTTGTTGCTTTTGTAAAGTCATAGTCTGGATCTGGTTTGGAGCCGGGTTCCACATGGTTCAGACCAGGTGGACCGGCCCCGCCCTCTCCCTGGGGTTTTAATAAGACTTAGGAACAAACCAGTTTTCATGTTTCCATAGGATGATATTTAATGGTTATTTTTGTCATTGATTTTAGGTCAGAAATGTTGAAAAGTCGGTGAATATGAAACATGGCTTTGTCACAATCTCTACTTTTAACTTCACTTTTGTAAGCTAAAAAACACACACAGACACACACACACACACACACACACACACACACACGCACACACAGACACACACACACACACACACACACACACACAGACACACGTACACACACACACACACACACACACACTTCCTTCTTGATTGTGTTGCTACACGGTGGTCTTTACATTCACCTGCAGAGATAAACACCATGAAAGAGACGAGAAAAAGGAAAACGCTGCAGCAGACTGACAGGAGGAGGAGGAGGAGAGGGAGGAGGAGGAGAGGGAGGAGGAGGAGAGGGAGGAGGAGGAGGAGGAGGAGGAGGAGGAGGAGAGGGAGGAGGAGAGGGAGGAGGAGGAGGAGGAGAGGGAGGAGGAGAGGGCGAAGGAAAGGGAGAAGGAGAGGGAGGAGGAGAGGGAGGAGGAGGAGGAGGAGGAGAGGGAGGAGGAGGAGAGGGAGGAGGAGAGGGAGGAGGAGGAGGGAAGGGGCGAAGGAGAGGGAGGAGGAGAGGGAGGAGGAGGAGGAGGAGAGGGAGGAGGAGGAGAGGGCGAAGGAGAGGGAGGAGGAGGAGGGAGGGAAGGGGCGAAGGAGAGGGAGGAGGAGAGGGAGGAGGAGGAGGAGGAGGAGGAGAGGGAGGAGGAGGAGGAGGAGAGGGCGAAGGAGAGGGAGGAGGAGGAGAGGGTAGAGGAGGAGAGGGAGGAGGAGGAGGAGAGGGTAGAGGAGGAGAGGGAGGAGGAGTTGTCTGCCTCATTAGCCTCATCTCTGACCTCTCACTGCGGTAATGCCCTTCTGACGGATCACTAAGCGACCGTTATATTTATATTTGTTGTATATTTATATTTGTTGTATATTTATATTTGTTGTATATTTATGTGTGTTGTCATTGTATTCTCTGAGTTGGAGCTGGTTTTCTGATCTGCTGTTGGTGAATCGACAGTTTAGATACTTACTGTTGTGATTTAGGGCGATACAAAAATGCATTGAATGGAATTATAAATGCAGTCCACTCTTGGATCGACCCGTTGAGGAACTTTGTTTTGACTCTTGTGTAACCTTCTTCCCTCATCAGTCTGGTCCCGTCTCATCCAGGGCCCGCCCCCTTCACTCACAGCCAATCACAGAGCTCGGCCCACCCATGTCAATCAAACCGCCTCTTTAAACTGAGCCGAAACTTCCCGACAACTAACACTGCTTCAAGTTCTCACACCCTCCTCCTCTCTCCTCCTCCGCCTCCTATACCGCCTCCTCCTCTCGCCTCCTCCTCCCTCTTATACCGCCCCCTCCTCTCGCCTCCTCCTCCCTCCTATACCGCCTCTTTCTCCTCCTCTCGCCTCCTCCTCCCTCCTACCGCCTACTCCTCCTCCTCTCGCCTCCTCCCACCTATACCGCCTCCTCCTCTCGCCTCCTCCTCCCTCCTACCGCCTCCTCCTCCCTCTCTCGCCCCCTCCTCCTCTCGCATCCCCCTCCCCCTCTCGCCTCCTCCTACCGCCTCCTCCTACCGCCTCCTCCTCTCCCTCTCGCCTCCTTCTCCTCCTCTCGCCTCCTCCTCCCCCACTCGCCTCCTCCTCCCCCACTCGCCTCCTCCTCCCTCCTACCGCCTCCTCCTCCCCCTCTCGCCTCCTCCCTCCTATACCGCCTCCTTCTCTCGCCTCCTCCTCCCTCCTATACCACCTCCTCCTCCTCTCGCCTCCTCCCTCCTATACCGCCTCCTCCTCCTCCTCTCGCCTCTTCCTCCTCCTCTCTCGCCTCCTCCTCCCTCCTACCCCTCCTCCTCCTCCTCTCGCCTCCTCCTCTCGCCTCCTCCTCTCGCCTCTTCCTCCCTCCTACCGCCTCCTCCTCCCTCCTACCACTTCCTCCTCCTCTCGCATCTTCCTCCCCCTCTCGCCTCCTCCCTCCTACCGCCTCCTCCTCTCACTTCCTCCTCTCGCTTCCTCCTCCTCTCGCATCCTCCTCCCCCTCTCGCCTCTTCCTCCCCCTCTCGCCTCCTCCTCCCTCCTACTGCCTCCTCCTCCTCTCGCCTCCTCCTCCCCCTCTCGCCTCCTTCTCCCTCCTACCGCCTTCTCCTCTGGCTCCTGAAGTGTGAGTTTGTACCTCCTCTCTGCCCTCATGCCACCAGTGTCTAGGCCCCGGGGGATCAGAGATTACAAGCAATGATCTGCCCCGACGCGTCCTGAAGAAACCCCTCCATCCAAACAAACAGATACATCATAGTGAAAGTGACATCAGCAGAGGTGGTGTAGCCTGGTCTCTCTCTCTGGTCTCTCTCTGGTCTCTCTCTCTGGTCTCTCTCTCTGGTCTCTCTCTGGTCTCTCTCTCTGGTCTCTCTCTTCTCTCTCTCTGGTCTCTCTGTGGTCTCTCTCTGGTCTTTCTCTCTGGTCTCTCTCTCTGGTCTCTCTCTGGTCTCTCTCTGGTCTTTCTCTCTGGTCTCTCTCTCTGGTCTCTCTCTGGTCTCTCTCTCTGGTCTCTCTCTGGTCTCTCTCTGGTCTCTCTCTCTTGTCTCTCTCTGGTCTCTCTCTGGTCTCTCTCTGGTCTTTCTCTCTGGTCTCTCTCTCTGGTCTCTCTCTGGTCTCTCTCTGGTCTCTCTCTCTTGTCTCTCTCTGGTCTCTCTCTGGTCTCTCTCTCTTGTCTCTCTCTGGTCTCTCTCTCTGGTCTCTCTCTGGTTTTATTGATAATTTTACCGAGTTGCTTTCAGTTGTATGCACAGATTTTGATAGTTTAGTTATTACAGGTGATTTTAATATTCATGTGGATAATGTTGATGACAGAAATGCAAATGAGCTGAGTTCTGTACTTGAATCCTTTGATCTCACGCAGCACGTGAGTGGCCCCACCCACAGCAGAGGGCACACTCTAGATCTGTTAGTTACTAAGGGGGTGAATATTTCAAATGTAAACGTGGTCGATGTTGCTCTTTCGGATCATTTCTGTGTTTTTTTTTGACATGTGTTTCACTAACAAACCACCAGTGGACTCTGCAACTGTTTGAAGAAGACACATAAATGAAAATACGAGTGAACTATTTATGGGAATGATAAACTTTGAGAATGCATCGTATTCTACTGTAGATGAACTGTTTAACTCTGTCACCTCTAGTGTTTTGAATGTTCTGAATATCGTTGCCCGTGTGAAGGTTAAAATAGTGAAAAATAAGCAGAAGGCGCCGTGGGCTAAAGCAGACTCGGTCAGGGCACAAAAGAGAAAGTGCCGGAGGGTCGAGCGGAAGTGGCGCAGGTCCAACCTCCAGGTTGATTACGAGATCTTCAAAGATAAGTTGTGCGAGTTTAACCGGGTGCAACGTAGTACGAGAGAACGGTATTTTTCTGAAATGATTGAAGGCTGCAGCAACAATCTGCGTGTTCTGTTTTCAACAGTTAATAGATTAACAAACCCCCCTGTTCAAAAGCCATTAGAGCTAACTTCCAAACGTAAATGCAATGAGTTTGCTAATTTTTTCAATGACAAGGTTCAAGGCATCAAAAACGCCATTGTCTCCAATCCACAGATAACCATCCAACAGCCAGAAAGGCTCTTTGAGCTAACTTACTTTGCACCTGAAAATGATAAAACTGTCCAAGAGATAATCTCCAGTTTGAGCTCCTCCACATGCAGCTTGGATGTACTACCCACTAGATTTCTGAAGTCTGTTCTGAGCAGTCTGTTACCTTCACTCACACAGATAGTAAACATGTCCCTTCATTCTGGAATATTCCCAAAGGCCCTGAAAACTGCAGTCATCAGGCCCCTGCTAAAAAAGAGCAGTCTCGATGCTACGGTACTTAACAACTATCGTCCCATCTCAAATCTGCCATTTATGGGGAAAGTCCTTGAAAAAGTGGTCTACTAGATTTCTTATAATCAACAACTCATTTGATATGTTTCAGTCCGGCTTTAGACCCCACCACAGCACTGAGACTGCTCTTGTTAAGTTTACAAACGCAGCGCCCTAAGTTGGTTTAGGTCTTACCTTGAAGACAGGAAGTACTTTGTGGAGATTGGAAACTGTGTCTCAGATCATATGGCCCTGACCTGTGGAGTACCACAGGGGTCGATCCTGGGACCTCTTCTGTTCAATCTCTACATGCTGCCGTTAGGTCAGTTAATACGCAGAAACAAAGTTTCCTATCATAACTATGCAGACGACACTCAGATCTATGTCTCACTGACTGCAGGAGAACATGGACCAGTGGACTCACTCCTTCACTGTATCCAACAGATCAGTGAGTGGATGCAAAACAACTTCCTTCAGCTAAACGCAGACAAAACTGAAATGATTGTCTTTGGTCCCCAGAAACAAAGAGAGAGCGTCATCTGTCACCTACAGTCTCTCTCCCTAAAACCTTCAAACAAGGTCAGATATCTAGGGGTAATACTGGACTCAGACTTAAATTTTAATAGCCACATCAAATCAGTAACATCAGCAGCTTTTTACCATCTAAAAAACATTGCCAGGATCAAAAACATAGTGTCTAAAGCAGACCTGGAGATTCTTATCCATGCATTTGTCTCCAGTAGGTTAGACTACTGCAATGGCCTGCTCACAGGTCTGTCCAAACAGGCTGTAAAACAGCTGCAGTACATTCAAAATGCAGCAGCTCGAGTCCTGACTAGAACCAGGAAGTACGACCACATTAGTCCTGACTAGAACCAGGAAGTACGACCATATTAGTCCGGTCCTCAGGTCTCTGCACTGGCTTCCTGTGGCTCATATGAACCAGCCCGGACTCTGAGGAGCACAGGGACTGGACTCCTGTTAGTGCCCAGAGTCAGAACTAAACATGGGGAGGCTGCTTTTCAGATTCATGCTGCTAAAATCTGGAACAGTATTCCTGAAGATGTGAGACAGGCCTCCTCTCTGACAATGTTTAAAACCAGGTTAAAGACAGTTCTGTTTAACTGTGCTACAACTGAGGGATTTTATATTTGTATCTTTCTTTTTAATGTTCTGTGATTATTTATGATTTTAATGCTTTCTTGTTTTGTTCAGCACTTTGAATTGCCTTGTGTATGAATTGTGCTATATAAATAAACTTGCCTTGCCTTGCCTTGCCTTGCCTTGTCTCTCTCTGGTCTCTCTGGTCTCTCTCTGGTCTCTCTCTGGTGTCTCTCTGGTGTCTCTCTGGTCTCTCTCTGGTCTCTCTCTGGTCTCTCTCTGGTCTCTCTCTGGTCTCTCTCTGGTCTCTCTCTGGTGTCTCTCTGGTCTCTCTCTGGTGTCTCTCTGGTCTCTCTCTGGTCCCTGGTCTCTCTCTGGTCTCTCTCTGGTCTCTCTCTGGTCTCTCTCTGGTGTCTCTCTGGTCTCTCTCTGGTCTCTCTCTGTATATATATATATATTGACAGTTTCTGACTCAGGACTCGCTGCAGTTTCCAGAACATTCAGAAGTTCATTTGTTTTGTGTCTGTTCAGTTTCTCTGTGGATTAAACTATCACTGTCGTCCCTAAGTCTGACTCAGACCTCATCCTGTCCTGGTTTAGTCCTGCTTTAGTCCTGCTTTAGACCAGGTATAGACCTGGTATAGTCTGTATCTGGTGGACTCTCTGTGACCCGCTTTCTCACCTCTGAATAAGCCGCTTCCTTCCAGAGTGATTTATGAGGTTGTGGTAAAGCGTGTGGCCCCGCCCCCTGTGCTGTAGGCCCGCCCCCGGCCCGCCCCCCGCTGACAGAGGGCTCAGGGCGTGGCGGGCCTCAGGGTGGGGCGCAGGTACACGGAGGTCACTGTCAAATGTCTGACATTCCTGCTGCTCAGCGCCGCAGAACACGCCCAGATCTGTCTCTGGAAAACACAGCCTCAGGTCCAACAGCTTTGACTTTATATCAATAAAACATTTTATTTAAAAACCACCACAAAAACAGTCACAGAGAAAACAACCTGAGTTTATACAAGACTGCACTAATATCAGCAACACAATCTATATTGTTTAATGGTGTTTGACAAAACAGAGTCTGTGTGTGTGTGTGTGTGTCTGTGTCTGTGTGTGTGTGTCTGTGTGTGTCTGTGTCTGTGTGTCTGTGTCTGTCTGTGTGTGTCTGTCTGTGTGTGTGTGTCTGTCTGTCTGTGTGTGTGTCTGTGTGTCTGTCTGTGTGTGTGTGTCTGTGTGTGTGTCTGTGTGTGTCTGTGTCTGTGTGTGTGTCTGTGTGTGTCTGTGTGTGTGTGTCTGTGTGTGTCTGTCTGTGTGTCTGTCTGTGTGTGTGTGTGTCTGTCTGTGTGTGTCTGTGTGTGACACCTGCCTCTGTATAAACTCTTTACATTTTGCTGTACTAAAAACAAACAAGTTCAGATAAATATTGTAACTAATACATTTTACAGTGTCACCCATCGCCTCCCTGAGATGCCCCCCCCTCCCCATGGGCCTGCTCAGTCCTGCCAGTCTCCCCTGGTGCCAGCTGAACACTCAATGCTTATTTAAAGATGGAAAATGATGGCACAGGCCGAAGGTGTGGCATTCCCCAGAGAGAGAGAGAGAGAGAGAGAGAGAGAGAGAGAGAGAGAGACTTTTGTTCCTGAACGTCTTTTCTTGTTACCAAAAATCTCTTTACAGGATGGTCTTAAAGGGGTTCTTGGTCCAAAAGTATGTCCTGGTTCATAAGTGGTTCTTGGTCACCATAAGTCTTTACTCGCTGATGATTGACAGGTCTGTGATGATTGACAGGTCCTTCATCTGTTGTGATTCTGAGAAATGTGACACGGACAGAGGACGATGTCGCTCTTTGAAAACTTTACAGCCCAAAGACTGATTTATGAGAGGGTTTTGGAATGCAGGTGGATCACACTCTGCTGCTGCGGGCGCCAGATAGTGTAGGTACTTCTCATACTGCTGTGGGCGCCAGATAGTGTAGGTACTTCTCACACTGCTGCAGGCGCCAGATAGTGTAGGTACTTCTCACACTGCTGCAGGCGCCAGATAGTGTAGGTACTTCTCACACTGCTGCAGGCGCCAGATAGTGTAGGCACTTCTCATGGTACCTCCTCATGGTGCCTCCTCATGGTCCCTCCTCCTGGCACCTCCTCCTGTGGTGCAGTAAACTCTCTCCTGCTCCTGGGAAACCTATGAAGGCTTTAACAGTGAGGAGACTGTGACCTCTGACCTTTCATCATCATTGGGCCGAGGTCAGAGGTCACCGTCTGTAGTTTACTTCAGCATCAGTTCAAACAGACATCGACAAACATTACTGCACTCGAGGAGTTAACAGTCGATAGGAGCCAAACTTCATCCATGAGCACTTCCCTGTTGGGTTTCATGGATCTGTAAACAGTCTCTGGCGATGCATGAGGATCAAATAAATACATGAAAAGGAAAGGTTAGCACTTAGCCTGGGTTTAAATCCTGGTCGGAACAGGGTCTTTCCTAGAAGAGTTTGCATGTTCTCCCTGTGTCTGTGTAGGTTTCCTCCAGGTGCTCATGTTTCCCCTACCACTGAAAAACATGTACAATAAGTGAGTCATCCAGCTCTGGGCCAAATGCAGAGGATCAACTGCTCTACTGGGACTCACAGGGACTCACTGGGACTCACTGGGACTCACAGGGACTCACTGGGACTCACAGGGACTCACTGGGACTCACAGGCACTCACTGGGACACACAGGGACTCACAGGGATCACAGGGACTCCTCTCTGTCCTGCTGACGCTCAGTTCACCTAAAGTGGCTCCTCGTGGCACGGTGCCCAGTGTGTCACCGACTACAGCTGTGCATTCCCAGACTGTGAAGGAGAGGGAGGGGGAGAGGGGGGGGGGGGGGGGGGGGGGAGGGGGGGGGGGGGGGGGGGGGGGGGAGGGGGGGAGAGAAGGAGAGGGATGGGGGGGCGGGGGGGGGGGGAGGAGGAGAGGAGGGGGGGGGGGAGGAGAGGGGAGGAGAGAGGAGAGGAGGAGAGAGGAGGGGGGGAGAGGAGAGAGGAGGGGGGAGGGAGGGGGAGGAGAGAGGAGGGGGAGGAGAGAGGAGGGGGTTTAGCAGTGGAACAGTTGCGTCGCTCGTCCTGTAGTGAGCCTCCTGAACTGGCCTGTAAAGGCTGGGGTTTATTGGGAATCTGAGGAGCACAGGGACTGGCCTCCTGCTGGGACTCTGAGACCAGAGGGAGACCAGAGAGAGAGACCAGAGAGAGAGACCAGAGAGAGAGAGCAGAGAGAGAGAGACCAGAAAGTGCAGTATCTGGTCAATCCCACAGAAGAGAGAGACCCCCATCTGCTGCCCACATGGTCCACACAGCTCACATAAATCTGACTCCTCCACGGCACAGCATTCACCCTGCACCAGCCTCTACCTCCTCACTTACATCTGGTCTCATTCTCTCTCTGGTCTCGGCCCCCCCTCTCTGGTCTCTCTCTCTCTGGCTTCAATCATGGTCTCTCCTTCAGACTCTTCTCGATCCTGGTCTCTCCTGGTCGCTCCAATCTGGTCACAATCATGGAAACTCTCTGCCATCTGGTCTCTTCTCTCTCCTCTGGTCAAACGCTCTGTGCTCGTCTTACCTTCTCTCGAATGCATCCTATATCTCTCGCTCTGGGTCCTCTCTCTCTCTCTCCTCTCTCTTCTCTCTCCTCTCTCACGCTGGTCTCTTCTCTCTGGTCTCTCTCTCTCTCCGTCATCTCTGGTCTCCTCTTTCCTCTCGCCCCTCCCTGTCTCTCTCTCTGTCTCTCTCCCTCTCTTCGACCTCTCTCTGGTTCTCATCCCTTTCTGGCTGGTCTCCTCTCCTCTCTCTCTCCCTCTCTCATCTCTGGTCCTCTCTATCTCCTGGGGTCTCCATCTCACTGTCTCTCCCTCGTCTCCCTCATGGTCTCTCTCTTCTCACTCCTCTGCCACTCTCCTCTGCTCTCTCTCTCTCTCCTCTCTCTCTGGTCTCT